CTGCATCCGTGCTTCCCCGTACACACAAGGATTGGAATCGTGGGAGCTGGCCCAAGCGGACTCTCTGCTGCCTATGCACTATGTAAGCTTGGTTACACTAATGTGACTGTCTTGGAGAAGTATCAATCAGCTGGAGGCATGTGTGAATCAGCTGAGATTGAAGGTGTAGTTATATATCTATCTTGTATCTTTTCAAAGTCTTTGCTTTTCACCAAAAAAAAATCATCTTATAATGATAAAGTTGGGATTAAGGAATGATTTGACTTATAAAAAACTCATTTCGCCTATATTGAACAAAAACTTGGAAGAATACCAATAAACGTCAGCAAAAAATTACAATGAAAGTAGGTTGGAGAGTAGTGCATGAAAAATTACAAAAGAAATTCATGTTCATACCATAGGTTGGAGAGTAGTGCATGACAAATTACAAAAGAAATTCATGTTCATACCATTCACAAATAATCAAAACTATCCGCACATTTTGCTGTGTTGACAGATTTTCTGAATCACTGTTTTATGTAAACATGGTCAAGTTAGTTTTCCTATGCTGCATAAAATCAGAATTTCTGTGTAAATAAAAATGAGAACTTGAAGATATTTGTTTGACTGTTCTACGCTTCTCACAGGAAGAATTTACGATTTGGGAGGTCAAGTTCTTGCTGCAAACAGTGCTCCTGCTATATTTCACTTGGCAAAGGAAGTTGGGGCTGAAACAGAGGAGATGGACGCCCACAATTTTGCTATGATTGACAGTTCCACAGGAAAATATAATGACTTGAAAGTGGCAGATGATTATGTGTATGCAATCTCTCTGACCTTGGAACTCCAGGTTAGTTTCTATCAGGGCCATACAGTGATCTCACCCATCTTTATTTCTTTTTTGTGCTTTTGGAACTACAAGTAGTTCTCACCTAGAGGATGGGCCTTGGCACAGCGGTAAAGTTGCTCCATTGACCTAACTGTCAAGGGTTTGGGTTGCAAAAACAGTCTCTTTGCTTAAGGATGCGTAGATTTGACTCACCCAGACCCTGCAGTGGTGGCAGCCTCGTGCACCTTTTTTTAAGTAGTTCTGACATCATGTTATCTACCTATAGGAAAAGGCCAAGGCTTCGGGCAGAATTGGGGTCCATGCTGTCAGTGACATTGCTTCAGATTTGACTCCTGTGTTTCTTGAGGACCATGGATTTAAATCAATTCCTAAATCTGTGGCTTATGGATACACTGCTTCTGGATATGGCTTTGTTCAAGACATGCCTTATGCTTACATTCATGAATTCACCAAGACCTCAATGGCGGGAAAGATTCGGCGCTTCAAAGGAGGTTACACAAGTGTTTGGCAGAAAATAAGTGAAGGGCTACCTATAGAAGTTTGCTGCAATACTGAAGTAATAGCAATCAGACGCAACTCAATTGGTATCAGAGTTGATGTCAAGGATCATAGTGGCGCAAAGCAAGTTGTGGAGTTTGATAAAATCATTATCTCTGGTTCTTTTCCCTTCAACAGTGGAAAGACTTACAGATCACCTTCTTCAAGCACATTAGGTTATTGATGCTCTGAATTTCAACAAACTTAAAATGTAGATCACAACAAAATAAGAATGGAAGAAGCATACATTTTATGAAGTTAATCTTTTCCTCTTTTGGCTTGCCACACTCATAATTCTCTAGATCTTGCACAACTTATTCCTGGCTTCTCTATGTTGTTCCAATGTCCCCATTAACCTGTGCAAAAATACCCTTCCTTCAAGGATTGTGTGTGTGTGTGTGTGTAATATATCATTTTACAACTATAACAAACAATCCACAGCAGTCTAGTGAAGTTGAATAAAATACTAGCATTCGTATATAACATATACATACACCTCGGCAACCTCGCAAATAGCAAGTTGGGACAAAAAAAACTACGGCAAAACGTAAACATGCATACGGGTTACAATTGCAGACATAAGAGGAAATGCATAAATTCTTCTCCAGTGATTGCTAAAAAATGAATGTGTCCAAAAGGGGAAGCAAGTAAAGGTGCATCTTGGATTTCAAAGCAAGGCAATGCTCTTCTATCACATGGAGCATGTACTTAGACTTCTTGGTTGATATCCTGTCATATACAAATACACAACTTAAGTCAAATTGCAATTCTAGTAAGCACCACCAACCACCTAATTACAAAAAACAGAGTTTAACAAACACTAAATGCACACAATGCCCAAAGAATTGACCATGCTAGGTTTCTTATCCAACCCTACATACCGCCTTCTAAAAGATGAGTATAGTCGTGAAGTTGTATAAGGGCCTTCAATAGAAGATAAATTAAGAGAACCAACTTAGATGGTTTGGTACCGGAAAAAAACAAAAAAAAAAAAAAAAAAACTTAGATGCTTGGACAAGTTTACAGAAGACCTGGTAATGCACCATAGAAGAAGAGTGATTTGATACATATCAATGGCAATGCGAGAAGTAGAGATTGGCCAAAATAAACTTTGAAAGATATAATTAAAAAGGATAAGATAACCCACGGTTTTGACAGAAAATACCCTTGAAAGAGCACAATGGAGAAATATGATTCATCTGGCCAACCCCAAACAGTTGGGATAAAGGGTTTGTTGAGTTAGGTTGAGTTTGGAACCGAAAAAAACAAGCTCAGCACTTTTGTGTGTGAAAAATATTCAAAAATAATAAATTTC